ACACACACACACACACACACACACACACACACACAAACACACACAAAATGTGGGAAGGCAGTTGAGTGGTCCCTATTCACAGTTTGCTGAGATTAATCTTATTCTGTTCAGTTGTTTAAAATTATTTGACTGCAGAGATCAGAGAAACAGTTCCTGTTCCAAAAAATTTCTCCCTGGACCTTGCTCCCAACCCCAAGCTGTTCAGCTAGCTAATAACCAATCACACGTTTATTGGCAGACAACAGGTTTTGTCATTGATACCTGGTTACTAATCCATAGATCCAGCTGTACCCAGAGCCTCACAGCTCCAGTTTATCTGCAGCCACTTCAATTTCCGCCTGTTCAAGCAGCTGTTAACATGATGCTTGCCATAATTATCAGGTTACTTGCTTTTCAAAACATGCAGAAGTCCAATCAAACACTTGTTTTAAAACAGTTCTTTCTTACTTCTGTCTACAGTTTAACAAAGCACAAAAATAAAAACAGTTTTTACATTAATGATACTTACTGAACCAGTGAGCAGCTCCATCCCTGTGAAAGTGACATTGTTAGTGCCCATATCAAAGAATTGTGGGATGGTGATGAAGCTGAAGTTTATCAAGAAGGAGAACAGGTTGAACATAAGCAGCCATTTGAGGAATGTGAAATAGGACAGAACACTTGTTCCAAATTTCCCACCAATGATTTTCAGGGATCTTTTCCAAGGATGAACTGACTGGAAATATATAAACATATTCTCCCGAAAACGTCGAAGAGACTATAAAAAAATGGAATAAAGGAACACATTAAATTGTAAAATGATGCTAATTAGTCAATATTGATCTTTTTATTTATCTGGTAGCACACCTCCATTTCTCAGTTTTTCCATAAACCAACACAGAAAGATGTGCCTTGTAATCACACATTTCCCCCACTTGTCCATTTCCTCCAAATGCCTGCAGTTTTTAAATTATTTTGGTTTGTAACTCTGCAAGATTTTATGATGAGGCCCTTTATGGAAAGGTAGTGACAGAGTTTTTGATGTCATCAACAATGGCAGTGGCCTAGTGGTATTATTGCTGGACTGTTAATCCAGAGACCCAGATAATGTTCTGGGGACGTAGTCTTGAATCCCACCATGGCAGATGATAGAATTTGAGTTCAATAAATATCTGGAATTAAGAATCTAATGATGACCATGAATCCATTGTCAATTGTCAGAAAAACCCATCTGGTTCACTAATGTCCTTTAGGGAAGGAAACTGTCATCCTTACCTGGTCTGGCCTACATGTGACTCCAGACCCACAGCAATGTGGTTGACTCTTAACTGCCCTCTGGGCAGTTAGGGTTGGGCAATAAATGCTGCCTGGCCAGCGATGCCCTCACCCCATTAATGAATAAAGAGGAAAAAAATACAAACTGAATATAGAATGTGGGAAGGTAGAATTGAGAGTCATATCTAGAGGTAACAAAGGCTTGGCAGAGGTTTTCATGCAGCAAGAACTGTGTCATTGTATGTAGGTGGAAATAGATTGTCTTAGAAAGGGCATGGACATGTGGTCAGATGTCATCTCAGTTCAGAAATGACACACGTTGTGAACAATCTGATTTAGCCTCAGATAAGCAAAGTTGCAGAATCATAGAGCTGTACAGCACGGAAACAGGCCCGACTCATCTATGCCAACCAGATATCCTGAAATAATCTAGTCCCAGCATTTGGCTCATACGCCTCTAAGCCCTTCCTATTCATATACCCATTCAGATGCCTGTTAAATGTTGTAATTGTACCAGTCCCCATTACTTCCTCTGGCAACTCATTCCATACACACATCACCCTCTACGTGAAAAAGTTACCCCATTCGCTTTTATAAATCTTGCCCATCTCACCTTAAATCTTTGTCCTCTAGTTTTGGTCTCCGCTATCCTGGGGAAAAGACCTTGGCTATTCATCCTATCCATGCCCCTCATGATTTTATAAACCTCTATAAGATCACCTCTCAGCCTCCGATGCTCCAGGGAAAATAGCCCTAGTCTATTCAGCCTCTCCCTAGAGCCAGTTGCTAGCTAAAGAACTGAAGTTTTATCAGGGACTGAACATATTGGCTATCGTCTTACCAATATTTAACTGGAGGAAATTTCTACTCATTCAGCACAGGATGCCAGACAAGCAGCCTGATAATTCAGAGACAGTGGAGGAGGCAAAAGAGGTGGTATGGAGGTTCAGCTGGGTTTTTTCTTTTGTTCATGGGATGTGAGTTTACTGCCCATCAATAACTGCACTGGTGAAGGTGCTGGTGAACCAGCCAACTTAGAATCATAGAATCCCTACAGTGTGGAAGCAGGACATTCAGCCCATTCACACCAACCCTCCAAAAAGCATCCCACCCAAACTGATCCCCCTACCCTATCACTGTAACCCTGCAATTCCCATGGCTAACCCACATAACCTGCACATCCCTGGACACTACAAAGCAATTTCCCATGGCCAAACCACCAAACCTGCACATCTTTGGACTGTGGGAGGAAACCAGAGTACCCAGAAGAAACCCATGCAGTAGTGGTCAAAACGTGCAAACTCCACACAGTCACCGAAGACTGGAATCAAACCCGGGTCCCTGGCACTGTGAGGCAGCAGTGTTAACCACGGAGCCACTGTGCCACCCCTTGTGACAATTGATGCACTGTTTTTGGATGTCAACAAGTGACAGCAAGTTGTTGAGACATAGAAGGGGCCCAAGTCTAGATTTTTATGGGACACCAGTGTTAATGGCATGGAAGTGGAAGAGAAGTGATTACACCCAGGTGTAATAAAAACAAGAATGTGCTGGAGAAACTCAGCCTGGCAGGCAGCGGATGGAGGTAGAGAAACAGAATTAACATTATAGTCTGATATAGCTCTTCTTCAGAACATGGCTTTGATTGGAATGTTCCAGCACCCACAGTTTTTTGTATTTATTTTAGCCATTACAGATGATTTCCTTACTGAAGTTGGCAAAAATAAAACAGATATATATCATTAGCCTTGGATCATGTATTATTTGATCAAATATTGGGCAGGAAAAGGGTCAGTGAGGATGTGACATTCTCCTAGTTATTGGTGATACCAAGAGATATCCAGATTAAAAACCTGAAATCCGAGACACTTTCCATTCTCCTTTAAGGTCTGTACACTGACATCCATCTGAGCGAAGTGCGTATAATATGTCTAACTTCAGACCTCTACCAATCTATCTTTGTAACAAACTGCTAGGACTTATTGCTTTATTCTTCTAAAACCAAAAGGGAATACTTATTACATTCTGGCAAGGTGGTGTTATTCTGGACTGTTAATCTAGAGATCCAAATAATGCTCTGAGGAAATAAAAACAGAAATTGCTGGAAAAGCTCAGCAGCTCAGCAGGTTTTCCAGCAATTTTGCTTTTGTTTCCAATTAACAGCATCTGCAGTTCTTTTGGTCTTTAATGTTCCGAGGATCTGGGTTTAAATCCTGCATGGCAGATGGCGGAATCTGAATTAAATAAAAATTAAGAATTAAGAATCCAATGATGACCACAAAACCATCAACTGATTGTCAGAAAAACCCATCTGGGTCATTAATGTCCTTTAGGGATGGAAACTGCTGTCGTTACCTGTTCTGAACTACATGCAACTCCAGACCCACAGTAATGTGGTTGACTCTTAATGGCCTTTTAAAATGGAGAATAAATGCCGGCCATATCCCATAGTTTGCTTGAGAACACAAATTCAATGTCCTGCACCTACAATACACAATCCACTGAAACTTCAAAGGAATACCTTCTCTTATGGGTCTACCAAAAGACCTGTAGTAATACCATAGATTGGAGAGTGTCATGCTGAAAAATACTGGTCTTTCACCAGTGATTGCACCTGGAAGGACGTTGAGGTGTTTGCGGTGGTGGTGAGATATTGAAGATACACCACTCAAGAGCTAGAGAACCTCCTGTGACACAGCGTTCTTGATCATTTCTAAACTCCTCATTAAAAATTATCAGTTATGCCTGGGCAAGTAATCCTTATACAGTCAATTTGTTGGACATTCAGAGCATTTACGTTTTAAATGAGGACTGCATGATACTTAGCATTTCTGGCATCCAGTGTAACACAAGTGTCAATGATTAAAGTAAATTATGCACTTGCTCATCTTCATTTCACCTCAATGCACTAGCCATAAGTCAATCCTTTGACTAACAGATGTCATTTCTAGTTGAAAATTAGACTTCTGGGTGAATGGGAAAATGTGCAATTAAGCACCATTCAAGGGTCATTTGTGTCCCATCTTGTGTTGAAAAATCAGCAAATGACAGCTGGATTATCCCAGCATTTATTTTCATATCAAATAATGGTGTTCTTGATTCTGTTATCAATATATTTCCATTCATACTTACAAACAATAGTTTATATAGCAGCTGTGTGCATCTATGTATCTGAACATCTGTGTCCGCTGCACATGGTCCAATTGTTTGCTGAACCTGATCTCTGGCAAGAAACAGGGGTAATGTACAATTTATATCGCAAATCCATAGTAGGTACATAAATATATTGTATTGTTAGCTTATGAAACAAATTTCCATATTTGGAATGCATACCTAGACAGAAATATAGAAGAGTAATGACATAGAAAGAGACCATTCAGCCCGCTGTGTCTGAACTGGCCAAGAAAATAAAACTTTTAATTGCACCTCCCAGCCCCTGGTCCATAGTGTTGCAGGCTCCAGCACTTTGGGCAGATCCAAGTTCCCCTTAAATTAGTTGAGGGCTTCTACCTGAACTACCAAAGCAGCAGAAAATTCCAAACATCGACTGCCCTCTGATTGGAAAGTTTTTCCTCATGTCCTCTTCCAGGAATCACCTTAAAGCTAGGACTTCTAACGATTACCTCTTTGCGAGAGTAAACGGGTCTTCCTGTCTACTCTATCCAAACCCTTCAGCCTCCTTTGTTTTAAGGAAGACAATCCTGGCTTATCCAATCTTTCCTCACAGCTGAAATTTTCAAGCTTGAACAACATTCTTGCGGATATCTCCTTTGTACTCTCTACATCAATTATGCCCTTCCTCTAATGTGAACAGAACTGTACACAAAAATCCAGTTGAGGCCTGAGCAGTGTTTTATACAGTTCCAGCCTTGCTTTTGTATTCATCTGCAACAAAATATCTATAGACACTACACAGCCAAGCAAAGCATTCAGATTTCAAATAGCTCCAATGGTTTTAGATTCAATTTATGAATGAATGTTTCCTGATACTATGGCTCTTCGTTGGTTTCAATTTATGGATCTTTTACTGGCTGTTGGTTTAAAAACTGATGTAGTTCAGCTATAACACATGTTTCGTTCATGCAAATTGGCTGTAATGTAATTGATAAATAGAGGATGCTGTCTGGATAATGCAAACTTTCTGCTGTACAGTATAATGGTTTTCTATAGCAATTTCCCTATAACGTGATTTTCTATAGCTCAATTTTCTATAGCACGAGGTCATGCAAGAACACAACTATCATGTTATAGGAGAACTACCTGTATTGGATGTTTTGATGGTTTTATAAGTGGACAAATCCCCAGGTCCGGACGAGTTCTATTCCAGGCTGCTGTGGGAGACAAGGGAGGAAATTACAGGGGCGCTGAACCCACGTTTTAAATTGTCTCTGGCCACAGGGGAGGTGCCAGAGGACTGGAGGGTAGTGAATGCAGTTCCACTTTACAAGAAGGGTGTAAAAACAGACCAGGGAACTACAGACCTGTAAGTCTATCATCAGTGGGAAAAAAACTATTGGAGAAAATAGTGAAGGAGAAAATTAATGTCAGTTTAGAGAGGCAAGCTTTGATCAGGGATAGTCAGTGTGGCTTTGTCAGAG